AAAATAGACCCCTCCACTCATCCTCCCTCCAATAGATGGATCGTGTATATATATATATATATATATATATATATACAAGACTGCATTGGCGCTGCGCGCCATGCACCTACCTTGGTTCTTTGGAATTCGCGCGCTAGCGGAGTGCGAGCGTGCGTACATGCGCACACACATGCGTCTATGAATGCATAGTACATATGTACATGTATATATACGTGTGTATGTATATGTACATGTATATGCAAATGGTCAGTGTAGCCATGTGTGCGCATACACATGCGTATATCAGGCGGTAGTGGCCTGACCAAATGCTCATATCATCGCGCCACTAAAAGGCGCGAGGGTCTCAGGCAAACGTGGTCAGACTACCATGGGACAATGCGTCGCCGAGGTCAGTGTTGCGAGGACGTCCCGGGTGAAAATGGCCTGAACACCTCCGCTCAGGGGAGGGCATATCCGAAGTCAGCCGTGCGAGGAAGTTTCAAGCGAGGAGTGGTCTGAACACCTCTGCTCAGGGCATCCTTGAACTTAGAATTGCGAGAAGTCGCACGCGAAAGTGGCCGAACCACCATGGTGCAAGGCACCTCCGAAGTGAGACTTGCGAGAGTGTCTCAGGCGACAGTGGCTGGAACACCTCAACTGAGAGTGTCTCGGGTCCCAGAGCTGCGATGATGTCTCAAGCGAAAACGGCTGGACCGATGCGAAGCAAGGCGCTTCTGAGGTCCGAGTTGCGAGCATATCTCTGGCGAAGCGGATTAGACTACTTTCCGTTATCTCCTCTTCCTCCTCCCCCTTTTCTTTTCCTTTCCTTTCCTTTCCTTTCCTTTCCTTTCCTTTCCTTTCCTTTCCTTTCCTTTCCTTTCCTTTCCTTTCCTTTCCTTTCCTTTCCTATTTTTCCTTTCTGTTCCTTTCCCCTTTCCTTCCCTTTCCGTTTCTTTTCCTTTCCTTTCCTTTCCTTTCCTTTCCTCCTCCTCCTCCTCCTCCTCCTCCTCCCCCCCCTTCTCCTCCTCCTCCTGTTCCTCCTCCTCTTCCTCTCCCCCCTCTCTGCTTCTTTTTTTGTCCATTCTCCCCAACCCTGGCGGCGCGGCGCGGTGCCGCTCGGCCTCTCTGCGAGTCAAGCGGCAAAGGGTGAGAGACCCCCCCCGAATTAGGAACGGTTTTTCCCAAGCCGCCAAGGGGGCCCGAAGGTAGTGCAAAAGGCGGTGCAGGTTTTGAAATCCCCCAGGGGCTCCTCGGATTCGGCCGGCCCTCTCCGGTAAGGTAGGCAAGGGCACCGCGTCCAGGTGCTCAATCCCCCGTATCCCCCTCCCCTCGTGTTCGTTCCCTCCTCCATGTCCCCCTCCTCCTCGCCCTCGTCCTAGCCATTTGATACGACAACGACGACGACGAAGAAGGCGACGACAAAGAGTAGGGATAATGAGAGGGGGAGACCGCTGCGTTGGGATCTCGTGGTGCGCCTCTCGGGGCCCTTTGGGAGGCAGTTTTGAAGCCTTTTGGGGGTGTTTTGGGGTTCTTGGGATCTTTTTGGGGCCTCTTGGGGGCCTCTTGGGGGCTCCTTGGGGCCTCTTGGGAGCCTCTTGGGGCCTCACGGGGCTCTCTCCGGGCCTCTTGGGGCCTTTTCGCGGCGGAAAATGTAGTTTTTGAATATTTGGGCGCCCTCTTGGGTCTCTCTTGGGGCCGTCTCGGTGCTCTCTTCGGCCGTCTTGGGCGCCTCTTGGGCGGTCTCGGAGCCCTCCTGGACCGTGTTGGGGCCTTCTAGGGGGCCTCTAGGGCAGTACTGGGGCGATCTAGGGAGCCTCTTGGGCCATTGTGGAGCGTCGGGGAGCGGGAAAAGCGAGAAGGCCAAAAACATCGAAAAACACACAGGACAATCAACAATTGTAGCCTCCCGGCGCTCTCTTGGGAGGCCTATTGGGGGTTTCTGGGGGCGTCTTGGACGCGTCTTGGGCAGTCTTGGGCCCAGATTGGGCGTCTTGGGCCCATCTTTGGGTGTCTCGGGGCCCTCTTTGGCCGTCGTGGGGTCTTTTTTTTTCGCGTCGCACTCGCAGGACAGACGCGAAGCACTCTGCAGGAGCGCCCCAAAGGCTCGGGAAGGGCGAAATTCGTTTTTTGGGGGGGCACCGTGTGCCGCTTTTCCGGGGTCCCCGCCCGCGAGTGTGCAGAACATAGGTATATATATATATATATATATATATATATATATTATAGATATATAATATAGTGTGTTGTGTGTGGGGTGGTGTGTTGTGTGTGTGGTGTGTGTGTGTGTGTGTGTGTGTGGTGTGTTGTGTGTGTGTGTGAGGGGAGGATTGTGGTATAATGTGCGCTCCCATTGATGTCTGCTTCTGGTCAGCCATATGGGTTGATGAATTTGGCGGTGCTCACCCACAGGCGGCTTCACAGCCGGACATTTCAAGTTGTGTGTTCAAGGTTTGTTTCAAGTTTTGTTTCTGGATTTTGTTTCTTTGGCCTGGTTTTGTTCCTGTGCCGCGGCCAAAAGTGCCCAAGAGGCCCCCGAAGAGGCCTCAAGAGGTCAGAGTTGTGAGGATGTCTCAGGCGGTACTGGGGAGATCCTGTTCAGGGCATCCCGCATCTCAGAGTGGCGAGGGTCTCAGGCGGAAGTGGCCAGACCACCTTGGGGCAATGCATCTTCGAGGTCAGAGTTCGGAGGATGTCTCAGGCGGCAGTGGCCTGACCACCTCACCTCAGGGCCTCTCGCAACCCAGAGTTGCGAGGATGTCTCCGGCAAAAGTGCCCTGAACACTTGAGCTCAGGGCAGGCGTTGCTTGGCATTGCTTGGTATTGCTTAGCGTTGCTTGGCATTGTTTGGCGTTGCTTGGCGCTGCTTGGCACTGCTTGGGATTGCTTGGCGTCGCTTGGCTTTGCATTGAATTGCATTGCTTTGGTTGGCGCTGCTTGGCGCTGCTTGTTGCTTTGCAGTGCTGGGCACTGTTTGGAATTACGCTGCTTGGCATTGCTTGGCATAGCTTCGCCTTGCTTGGCAACCGTACGACCTGGCATCCCAAGCAACCAGGCAACCACAAAAGCAGGGCAACCCGGGCAACCGAGCAACCGGGCACCAAACAAACCGGGCACCAGACAAGCGGGGAACCGGGCAATTGGGCAACCCGAAGAAGGCTTGGCAACAGGAGGACGGCCCGGCCACCCGAGGAAAGCCGAGCAATCGAGCAACGCGAGGAAGGCTGGGCAAGTGGGCAGCCCCGGGGAAGGCCAGCAAAGGCCAGGCCAGGCACCCACAGGTTTTCAAGAGCAGACGAAATACCTTTAAGCAAAGCCTGATCATCGGGGAACATTAGCTCCATACCGCATAGACCAGCTTTTCGGTAATAAGGAGATTGGGGGCGTGGCATCATCTCTGATTTGCATTGGACGCACGATTCAGATCACGAGTGGACACACGCCAGGGCATGAATGTTGCTGTTAATTGGTAGTTTGTTCGTGTGTATATTCCTTTATCATATAAAATTACATTTGGACCCCCCCCACGAGATCGGGGGGGGGCACCACGCCGACACCCCCCCTCCAGAGCCCCCATGACGGCTCAACAGACAGCCCAAGACGGCCCAACAAACGGCCCACACCCCTCCAGGACAGCCACGATTGTCCCAACAAAGCCCAATATGACCCCAAGGCGTCTCCAAAACGGCCCAAGACGACCGACGACGGCCAAGGATGGCCCCCAAGACACTCCAAGAGGCCTCCATGAGGCTTCCACAACGGCCCCGGAGGCCTCCAAGAGGTTCTCCAGGAAGGCCTGAAGAGGCCAAAATCATGGATTTCCGATCGGTTTTTGAAACATTTCGGCATTTGCTTATTTTCGGCTTTCGGCCGATCCAAGGCGCCCCAAGAGGCCCCCTGGCTCGCACCAAGATCGCCCACGAGGCCCTCCAGACGGCCCCAAGAGGGCCCCAAGATGGCCCCAGAGGCTTCCAAGACGCCCAAGATGGTCTCATATGGTCTCTATGACTGGCCCTCAGGCGCCCCAAGAGGGCCCAAGTCGGTTCAGAGAGGCCCCCAGGACGAATTCCGACGGCGTCGGACGGGACAAGAACGCCTTAGGACAGCCAAATAAGGCTCCCAAGAAGCCCCCAAAGGCTTTCAAGAGGCTCTGGGAGGCCCCCCAAGAGGCCTCCAAGAGGCCCCCAGGGAGCTCCCAGGAGGCTCCCCATAGTGCCCCAAGCGGCTCCCGACGGGCCTCCTCCTGCCCCTCCTCCCCCTCCTCCTCCTCCTCCTCCTCCTCCTCCTCCTCCTCCTGCTCCTGCTCCTGCTCCTTTGTGGTTGCATCCTTCAAGCAAAACCCATTCGACGAGCCTCAACCTCATCCTCCATCTCCTCCTCCTCCTCCTCCTCCTCCTCCTCCTCCTCCTCCCGTTTTAAAGAGCAGGGCATAGAATCCGGAAGTTTTTTTCCCAGCCTCCCCACATTTTTTTTCGAAAAAACCAAGACCCAGGGGCCAAGATTTAAGGCGAAGCGGCAGCGAGCCTACAACATCTTGTGTATATATATGTATATCTATATATATATATATATATATATATATATATATATATATATATATGTGTGTGTGTGTGTGTGTGTGTGCGCGCGTAAAAGCAGTTCAAAGCTAGTTGGGATATCCAACCAGATACTACGCCTTAGGCGTGGTATACGTCCAACCCTGTTGCACCGCATTAACGATCGAGTAAGAGGTAGGAGATGGCCGCGAGAGCGGCATGGGGACATCTCCAGGGATGAATTTCCGCATCGATGTCAGACAGCGGGCCGCGGCGCGACCCGGTCCAATTGGCGGCCGGCCGCTCGAGCCCAGGCGGCCGCGGACAAGCGCTCGATGCCTCTCGCTTTGGCGCTTCCTCGCTCAGAAGGGGGTGTCCCACCGGGCACGCTCGCGAGCCTCCCCATCTCCTCTTGCCCGCTGCTCCGGGGCCCCACGTTCTCCGCGCAGCCTGGGGGAGGGGGTGGGCCGGCGGGCGGGCGGCCCCCAGGCGAGGAGCCCGGGGAGCGCTCGTACGAGGACGCCCGCTACTGCTCGGCCATCTTCCGCCAGAGCCCGCTGGCGGTCGCCAGGGAGGCCCCTCGCTGCCGCGCACAGGGCTTCCTCGGGACCCAGCCTCGCGGGGGTGCACTTGCAGACTTGGTGCTCGCGCTGTCGATGCTCTGCTCTCCTAGGGCTTTGCAGCGTCGTCCGCGCCTCGCTTCTGCACGTCCGAGCTCCTCCGCTGCCTGCACACCCTCCTGTGCTCAGCTGCGCTCTTGCTCTGATGGACACTGCGCAGGCCTGACGCGAGCTTGGAGAGGCCCCTTCCAAGGTGTCCCCGCGTCGTGCAGGAGTCCCGACGGGCGGTTCTCGACAGCTTTCGGCTGCCAGGCGCCCTCCCAGGGCCGCGCGGCCGTGATGGAGCGACCCGGGGGAGGGGCGCAGACCTCTGGGGGTCCGACGCCGTGAAAACAGGAAAGAAAAAGACGATGTCAGAGTTCTTGGTTTGTCCCTCGATCTTCGCGCTGGGCACGTGGCAGTCGCCGGTCGCCGAGCGCGTTCCACTGCTCGCAGAGTGCCCACTCGCAAACGTCTGAAACAAGAGCACGTGTCCGCCTTGATGTGATCTATCGCCAGTCCTCCGCGGGGGACCCAGGCCACGTGCGAGCAGCTACTCTGCGAGCAGCGGAGCGCGCTCGCCCAGTCTGGGGCGTTCCCGCTCCAGGGAGGGCCTCGCCTCTCCTCCTCCTCCTCCTCCTCCTCCTCCTCCTCCTCCTCCTCCTCCTCCTCCTCCTCCTCCTCCTCCTCCTCCTCCCCCTCCTCCCTCCTCCTCGCTCCAGGGAGGTTGGCGCCTCTTTCCCGGCGGACGGCGGCCCCTCGAGGTGTGCACTCGGCGGTCGTCGTCCGGGCCGTCTCGGAGAGGGCCTCGCCCTCGAGGCCGACGTCTCCTGTCCCTAGCGTCGGGTCGGGCCTGTCCCTCCGCAGGGGGAAGGTTTTTTTTTTTTTTTTTTTTTACAGCCGCGGGCGGAAGCGCCAGCGGCGGGAGGTCGCGAACGGGCCGCGGACGCGACTAAATTACCTAACGCGCGCGGGGCCGCGGATCAGGCGGCTCACGAAAGCGTCCAGGGCGGCGGAGCCGAAGCAATCCAGGAGCCAGAGACAGCCCCTGAACGGGCATGCAGGGGGAAGGTGCAAAGACAGTCGCAGAGATAGTCGGGGGACGATTTTTCGAACCTGTTTGGACCATTCTGGGGCATTTTTTGGGGGTATCTCTTTTTTTTTCTCCAAGATCCCCCTGCAGGAGGACAGGCCCGACTCAACGTCAAGTCGGGCCTTTCCCTCGATGTGCAGGAGGAGTTTCCAAACACAGTCACAGAATAGTCGGGGGACGAATTTTGAAGATATTTTTTGGCTCGTGCTGAGCATGGGTGGCGTATGTTTGATTCTTCGTCAAAGCTCCGCCTGCAGGAGGACGTACCCGACCTAACCCCAGCGGGAGGCCGGCGGAGGGCGGAGGTATGACGACGGCTGCCTCGCCAGCAGAGGCCGCCGGGAGTAGGAGGTGCGCTCCCCGCAGAGGTGAGAACCCTGAGAAATCTCGTCGGGAGCGGGGGGGAGGGGGAAAGGATGTCGGAGCGGGGAGTTAGGACAGGGTCGGATCCGAGCGAGAGATTGCAGTGTTTGGGGGGTCGCGGAACCAGAAGTCCCAGGCCGCCACTTTTGGCGCTCCGCGCGGGCTTCTTGGATCCGCGCTGCGCCCCCGCCGCGGCGCCTCCGGCGCCGCCCCTGGCGCGCTTCCGCGCGCCAGGGAGGGGGGGGGTCTAGCGCAGATCCAAGAACTCCGCGCGGACCGTCGAAATTTCACATTGGAGACCCATGCCAAGAAACACTCTGCTTACCTCCAGGGGGCTCTGGGTTTCTTGGGTTTTGGTGGTTTTGCAGTGGAGAGCGTGACGTTCCCACGCCAAAAGTCGACGGACGCCCTGGGGTCTCAGGGTTGGGTTTCTTGTGGAAGGTTTCTTGTGGACTGGCCTCCATTGTAATGGATGTTTCCATAACATGTCGACGAACAAGAGCCCCCCCTCCCTCCTCACTTCTTACTCCTAGGATGGGCGGGTCTCTCCGAGGTCGTTGCTGCAGTCGTAGTGGATACCCTCGTCGACGCTCTGCCCTCAAGAGGACTTTCGGAGCTTCGGAGCCGTCCATTCATTGCAGGTGCCTGCGGCAAGCCCTGCTACCGTGCCGGGGGCCAGGGATGCCTCCGGGAAGGGGGGGGTGGCGCGGTGCATGCAGCGAGGCGCTGCCATGAGGGGGGGAGCTCTTCCCATGGCCCCTGACGTCGTGATTTTTTACAACGTCGACCCCCAGAGGTATGGATCCCTTCCTTGGGACCGGCTTCGAATCCTGAGTCGTTTTTTGACGCTCCCGAGGCCCGCTGAGGCCCCCCGGAGGCCGAAAGTAGCGAAAAACTTCCCGCTGTGATTTTTTCGCGACGCGAGGGGTTCTTGGTGCGGAGACCTGCAGGGACCCCACCAGACAGCACTTGGCATTCTCGTGCGCCCACATCGTGCAGGGCACGGTGGAGAGTCTTCGAGCCTCAGGAGGCCCAGGGAGCTGCCGCGCCCCAGAACTTCTCGGGAGGGGAGAAAAAAAACACACACAGGCCCAGTTCATCGTCGACTCCCAGGATGATATGGAGAATATGATTGGGGAGGGGGGGGGAAGACGAAAACCTGGAACGTACATGAAAATATGAGGAGTCCTGGGATTTGTGCCTATTCACTTGTACGTCCCTGGGCCCCTTGAGCTTTCCTCTGAGCCCGTTCTCGGCGCCCCCGGGGCGTCCGGCCGCCGAGAGCGGGCCGCAGGAGAAGGGACGCCCGTCGCCGGCGGGGCGGTGCGGAGCTGGCCCGCTCGGCGGCCCAACGGGCTCGATCGAGCCCGTCTGCCCACTGCGGTGGGACGACGAAGTGTTGCAAGTTGTTCCGGAGCCCGTGCGGATGCACCTGCACTAGGGTAAGTCGGGCCTGTCCCTCTACAGGAAGAATATTTTGAATTCTCCTGGCGATGGACCCAACCATATGCAGTTGCGAGTACCGCAAAGCAGGTTGAGCGAATGAGAGGGAACTCCCTAAGGGGCCACGAAACGTGTGAGAGGTGTGCCGAAATGGGTGCGGTGCCGCCATGCGAACGCAGCCACTGGGGCCTTCGGTGGAGCTCCCTATGGGGCCACGAAACGTGTGAGGGGTGTGCCGAAATGGGCGCGGTGCCGCCATGCGGACGCAGCCACTGGGGCCCTCGGTGGAGCTCCCTATGGGGCCACGAAACGTGGGAGGGGTGTGCCGAAATGGGCGCGGTGCCGCCATGCGAACGCAGCCATTGGAGCCCTCGGTGGAGCTCCTTATGGGGCCACGAAACGTGTGAGGGGTGTACCGAAATGGGCGCGGTGCCGCCATGCGAACGCAGCCATTGGAGCCCTCGGCGGAGCTCCCTATGAGGCCACGAAACGTGTGAGGGGTGTCCCGAAATGGGCGCGGTGCCGCAATGCGAACGCAGCCACTGGGGCCCTCGGTGGAGCTCCCTATGGGGCCACGAGCCGGGTGAGGGGTGTGCCGAAATGGTTGCGGTGCCGCCATGCGGACGCAGCCATTGGAGCCCTCGGTGGGGCTCCCTATGGGGCCACGAAGCGTGTGAGGGTGTGCCGAAATGGGCGCGGTGCCGCCATGCGAACGCAGCCACGGGGGCCCTCGGTTGAGCTCCCTATGGGGCCACGAAACGTGTGAGGGGTGTGCCGAAATGGGTGCGGTGCCGCCATGCGAACGCAGCCAGTGGGGCCTTCGGTGGAGCTCCCTATTGGGCCACGAAGCGTGTGAGGGGTGTGCCGAAATGGGTGCGGTGCCGCCATGCGAACGCAGCCACGGGGGCCCTCGGTGGAGCTCCCGATGGGGCCACGAAACGTGTGAGGTGTGTGCCGACATGGGTGCGGTGCCGCCATGCGAACGCACCCACTGGGGCCCTCGGTGGAGCTCCTATGGGGCACCAGTGCTGTAGGGGTGTGCCGAAATGGGCGCGGTGCCGCCATGCGAACGCAGCCAGTGGGGCCCTCGGTGGAGCTCCCTATGGGGCCACGAAGCGTGTGAGAGGTGTGTGCCGAAATGGGCGCGGTGCCGCCGTGTGAGGGGTGTGCCGAAACGGGTGCGGTGCCGCCATGCGAACGCAGCCACGGGAGCCTCAGGTGGAGCTCCGATGGTGCCACGAAACGTGTGAGGGGTGTGCCGAAATGGGTGCGGTGCCGCCATGCGAACGCAGCCACTGGGGCCTTCGGTGGAGCTCCCGATGGGGCCACGAAACGTGTGAGGTGTGTGCCGGGGCCCTCGGTGGAGCTCCCTATGGGGCCACGAAACGTCTGAGGGGTGTGCCGAAATGGGCGCGGTGCCGCCATGCGAACGCAGCCACTGGAGCCCTCGGTGGAGCTCCTTATGGGGCCACGAAACGTGTGAGGGGTGTGCCGAAATGGGAGCGGTGCCGCCATGCGAACGCAGCCACTGGGGCCCTCGGTGGCGGGGGAGCTCTCTATGGTGCGGCCACGAAACGTTTTGACGGGTGTGCCAAAATGGTGCGGTGCCGCCATGCGAACGCAGCCACTGGGGCCCTCGTGAGGCTCCCTATGTGGGCAAGAAGCGCGTGAGGGGTGTGCCGAACTGGGCGCGGTGCCGCATGCGAACGCAGGAAATGGAGCCTCGGTGGCGCTCCCATGGGGCCACGAAACGTGTGAGGGGTGTGCCGAAATGGGTGTGCGGGACGCATGCGGACGGCAGCACTGGGGCCTTCGGTGGAGCTCCCTATGGGGCCACGAAACGTGTGAGGGGTGTGCCGAAATGGGTGGTGGGGAGGCATGCGAACGCAGCCACTGTGGCCTTCGGTGGAGCTCCCTATGGGGCCACGAAACGTGTGAGGAGTGTGCCGACATGGTTTGCGGTGGCCGCCCATGCGAACGCAGCCACTGGGCCCTCGGTGGAGCTCCCTACGGGGCCACGAAACGTGTGAGGGGTGTGCCGAAATGGGCGCGGTGCCGCCATGCGAACGCAGCCACTGGGGCCTTCGGTAGAGCTCTCTATGGGGCCACGAAACGTGTGAGGGGTGTGCCGAAATGGGTGCGGTGCCGCCATGCGAACGCAGCCACGGGGGCCCTCGGTGGACCTCCCTATGGGGCCACGAAGCGTGTGAAGGGTATGCCGAAATGGGCGCGGTGCCGCCATGCGAACGCAGCCACGGGGGCCCTCGGTTGAGCTCCCTATGGGGCCACGAAACGTGTGCGGGGTGTGCCGAAATGGGTGTGGCTGACGCGGAGGGGGAGGGGGGAGGAGGCGGAGGAGGAGGAGGAGGAGGAGGAGGAATGAGAGGAGAGGAGAGGAGAGGAGAGGAGAGGAGAGGAGACGCGGGGCACCGATTCTTCAAAACGAGGACCCAACACCACAGGATGGTTGGGAAATAGTGTAAAAATCGTCTGGGGACGATGTTTTGAGTATTTCTTTAATTTTTGGGTGTATTTTTTGACTATTTTTTGTTTTTTGTTTTCCTTCCAAAATCCGCCCGTAGGAGTACACGCCCGACCTAACACTAGGGGAACGACAAATTGCATAATCACAGAAAAGTCGGAGGTCCGCGCGGATCTCTCGGATCCGCGCTGAACCCCCTTGGCGGCGCCTCCGAGTTTTTACGTTTATGTCATTCTTCGTTCCCCTATACATTGCGACGCCAACCCGGCGAACACTCCCCGCCCCCCACTGTTCAATGTTGGCATCAAGCAAGTGCCCCAGGTCCGGGTGGACGACATAAGGCAAGTCAGCATTGGAGTGCGGTTGGGGGGAGTTCATCGGAGATCGATGAGATCTGCCTCTCATAACGCTAAGATACTTTGCGATATTTTGTCCACCCACTGTCGGCCCGGGGCTGGCGGCTCGTCTTCCCATCCCACCACCATACATAGAGCCTTCATCGAAATCAGCAGCAAATTTTGATCCAACCCCCTCGACCCCGAATTTCAATGTTGACGGGTGCGCGCAGCGCGGCCCGCGGGGGCAATATCAAAATTGCAGTCGCCAGTGTCGGCATCAATGTTGCAATTGGCGGTCCTGGGGCGTCGCCCCGTCGTTGGAAAAAATCGCGTTTGTTTTCGAGGAGGGATGTAGGGATGGGAAGTCACTGAGGACGGGACGGGGGCGGGCACGAGTGGGCATCATAGCGGGCTCAAAATCAAAGGAGGCATCATGGCCTTCAGCACTGACCGCTCTCGGACCATTGGCATTCCTTTCGTGCGTGGCAGCATGCTCTCCCCGACGTCATGCGTTTCGCCACGACCTGGGCCCCTGGATGTCTCTACCTTTTCCCCAGGGCTGGCTTCTCATCCTGTCGGGGGTGGACAGACCTCCTACCCTGACACGTCGATTCGTGAATTGTCCGTTTTCGGTTCTCGAGAGGGCGCCGCGGCCGTTATTTTCCAGGCTCGCGTCCCAGGTTTGGGCCCGAGGTCGTTTTCACTGAACCACGTTTTGCTAAAGGGAGGTCTGTCCATCCCCGATCCTGGGCCGCCGTTCGACATTCCTGGAGGCCACGTGAGGCCTCCAGGAGGCCGACCAAATTGCCGCAACCCTCCCGTCGTGACTTTTTGTTTTGCTCTGGCCGCCCCGAACGGGGTCGGGCGCCGACAAGGCTCAGAAGGGCGGACACCCAAAACATTGCATACCGTAAACATCTATGTGCTTCGAGCGTTTCGAGTGACGTTTGGTCACTTGTATTTTTCCTGCCGACGCGTCCACCTGGACGCAAGGCTTCTGTCTGTCGGTCTGTCTGTCTGTCTGTCTGTCTGTCTGTCTGTCTGTCTGTCAGTAAACATCAACGTTCGGAGGTACTCCCGATTTCTTGGATCGGCGCTGGGCTCCCCTGGCGCGCTCCAGCGCCGACCCCAAAGGTCGGAGCAGACCTCAGGAAGCTAATGCTTGGGCGACATAGATTGCTAGATGCTCGTTTGTGGGGCCTTCCTGGGGCCCACCCAACGGATCCGCTTGGCTCTATTTCGACTCCAGTTCGACTCCAGCTCGACTCGGGTTCGACTCGGGGTCGACTCAGGTTCGACTCAGGTTCGACTCGAGCCGACGGAGGTTCGACGCAGCTTCGACGCACGAGCGGAGCGAGTGGCTGCAGGAAGGTCCCCAGAAGGAGGAGGAGGAGGAGGAGGAGGAGGAGGAGGAGGAGAGGAGGATGAGGAGGAGGAGGAGGAGAGGAGGAAGGAGGAGGAGGAGTGAGGAGGAGAGGAGGAGGAAGAGGAGGAGGAGGATGAGGAGGTAGGAGTCTAGAGGAGGAGGAGGAGAGGAGGAGGAGGAGGAGGAGGAGAGGGGAGAGGAGGAGAGGAGGAGGAGGAGGAGGAGGAGGAGGAGGATCGGAGGAGGAAGGAGAGAGGAGGGAGGAGGAGGAGAGGAGGAGGAGGAGGAGGAAGGAGGAGAGGAGGAGAGGGGAGGGGAGGAGGAGGAGGAGGAGGAGGAGGAGAAGGAGGAGGAGGAGCAAGGCGAGGAGGAGGAGGATGAGGCGAATGAGGAGGAGGAGGAGGGAGGAGGAGGAGGAGGAGGAGGAGGAGGGGGGGGAAAAGGAGGAGGAGAAGGAGGAGGAGAGGAGGCGGAGGAAGGAGGAGGAGCCGAGGAGGAGGAGGGAGAGAGGAGTAGGAGGAGAGGAGGGGGGAGGAGGAGGAGGTGTGGCTGCGCCTGCAGTGTGCGCCGCTTCTTCCTGCTTGGAGGGCCGCCCCCTTGGGGGGCCGCTGTGCCCGCCAGGGGCGGCGGTTGGTGCCGCTGGCCGCGCTGTTCAGCCGCAGGCATCCTCGCCCTCCCGCGTGCCTGGGCGCCCTTGCTCTCCTCGCCCTCCTCGCCCTCCTCGCCCTCCTCGTCCTCCTCCTCCCCTCCTCCTCGCCCTCCTCGCCCTCCTCGCCCTCCTCCTCCCGCCCTCCTCGCCCTCCTCGCCCTCCTCGCCCTCCTCCTCCTCGCCCTCCTCCTCCTCGCCCTCCCCGCCCTCCCCCTCGCCCTCCTCCTCGCCCTCCTCCTCGCCCTCCTCCGTAGCCATTTTGGCTCAAGATGATTGGTTCCCCTGGGGACCGCACGGATACCGCTAGTCCGCGGCCAGACCACCGCTCGCCTTCACCGTGGGAGTTGGGCGCCCACACCCAGTCCATTCCATATCGCGCTGCCACGGCCCACCGTGTGTGCTGCTGCCTGGCGTCGTGGAGATGCCTCCGCCGCATTACCGTTCGGAGCAGGCGCTTCCTTGGTACTGCAAGAGCTGCTGCGGGCCCTCGGGGAGACCGTGGTGGAATCATGCAGAGGCGCGGCAGTGTGCGAAGTGCAAGCTGGGCAAGGGACTGGTCTTCCACAGCGTACGCCAGCCCTCGGCCCCCTCCCAGCGGAAGAAGGGCAATCAGGGCGGCAGCGGCAACGGCTACTGGGACGACTCCGTCAAGGTGGCCAAGCTCAAGTCCGAGCTCGCCGAGGCCCGCAAGCGGCTTGCCGCTGTGCAGAGGCCGCCGCCTGGCGGGGAGGACGTGCAGATGGAGCCGGCCGCGGACGGAGACGGCCCCGAGTCCGTCGCCAAGGACAGGCTACGCGAGGTCGGCGACCTCATCGGCAAGCTCAAGGGCATTTCCGAGCCGTCGGTCGTGGCCACGCGCGACAAGCTGCTGGCAGAGCAGGCCGAGCTGCGTGCTAAAGTGGCGGAGTCCCGACCGCTCGGACAGCGCTTGCGCGAGATGGGTGCTCAGTTCACCAGGCTGCAGAAGCTGCGCGACGACCAGCAGACCAAGCTCGATGGGCTGCAGGCGCAGATGCGCGACCTGCAGGAGAAGGAACGGCTCACTCGGGACAAGCTGGCGGCCCTCGACGCTAGCATGGAGGAGCTGGACCAGGAGCGCAAGAGGCTTCAAGGGCAGGTTCCGACGCCTGGCGACAAGGCGTCGCTCGACGAGCCGATCAAGGGGGTTGGTGCCACGCTCGAGGGCCTCGGGATCTTGCTCCAGAGCCTGGGCGCCGATCACCAGCTGTCGGGCAGCCTCACGGCGAGCTTCCAGGAGCTGCAGAGGTTGCAGGAGGAGGAAGCGGCAAAGTTGGCTGCCCAGAGGGCGCAGGCTGATGCTGGGGCCGAGGCTGGTCCCGACGTCGAGCAGGCCGAGCGGCAGGACGGCGCGGCAGCGCCTCGCACTCCACAGCCATCTGCCTTCTCCGACGATCCTGAGTTCATGGAGGAAGTCGTTGCGGCTGGGGGCGAGAAGCACAGGCTGGAGGAGATCTTCATGCGTTGGGGTGCCAAGGTCAAGAAGCCCAGGCTTACCCCTGCCTAGCATGGCTCCACGGCGATGTTTTGCGTGTCTTGTGTGGTTCGTCCTCCTTTGTCGCACCATGGCTTCGGTTTCAAGTATCACCACCGTGAACGTGTCCTCGGGCGGCCCGCTCGTCGATTTCCTGCCCACGTGCTCGAGTTTATGCATCGCGGTGCAGGAACATCATGCCAAGGCCGAGGGCGATGCTTTGGCGAAGTTGCAGAATAAAGTAAGAGCTGCTGGGTACCATGGTATATGGGAGCCCGCCCTACCTGGGCAGGGAGTTGGCAGCAGAGGCGGGGTTGCGGTGCTGGCCCCGCTGCGGGTGGTCATCACCAAACCCCCAGGCCTGGACAGTCCGTGCTGCAGGAAGGCAGGATGATGGCGGCCCACGTCCACGCTGGGGTGAAGGGCGGCTTCGTCATGCTGTCGTGCTATTTCATTGTGGACGTCAAGCTGTCGCCCGAGAACCTGGCCATGCTGTACAAGCTGTACCAGTATGTCAGGTCGCTGGAGGCCATGGGTGTTCCGTGGATCGTAGGAGGCGACTTCAACATGGAGGTAGGCGAGCTCGGCCCGTTGTCCTGGCTCCAGTCGGCCAATGGCGTGGTGCTGGCGCCGAGAGAGCCGACTTGTCTTCAGAGCCTTCCTGGCCGCACCATTGACATGTTCATGGTTTCTTGCCGTTTGCTGCCTCGCGTTCGGCAACCAGTGGTCGTCGACGCGGAGACGTGGCCGCATCGACCAGTGACCATGGAGCTCTCCGCCACGGCTTTTGACGCGAAGGTCAGGAGGCTTGTCGAGCCACGCGGCTTTCGGAGGCCGCCTGCAGCGGGGTGCGCGAGGTCCCCCCCCGACTGGGACCCGATCCTGGCGATCATCCAGAGCGCGTCGGACAGCGAGGGCATCACCAGGGCCTGGGACGTCGTGCTCAGCGGCATCGAGTTCGAGCTGCGGGGCCGCTACGACTTCGTGAAGGACGTGGCGGGGTACTCCACGGTGCCAGGCCCCCCGACCTTCGAGCTGGCGAGTTTTCACCCTGTCGTGAAAGGTGCCTGGAGCAGGAGGTCGGCGGACACCCAGGCCTGGGCGCAGGCTGCGCGCTGGGCTCGTCACCTCAGGAGGGTTCGAGTGGCCTTGCAGAGCTTCGTGCTCCAGCTTCGCCCGCAGCAGGTCTTCGAGCTCGGCAGCGTCGGCGAGGCGCACGTCGACGGAGTGCCTGGCCTGGGCGATGGGGCACCCCCTGCTGCGGAGGTCGTCGGAGTGGCTGGTCTCTCCTCCGATGGTGGTCGGCCTCGGTCGAGAGCTCAGCGACACCAGCCCCCGCGACGTGCAGGCGAGGACCTATCGTGGGACGCCGTGCACTCCAAGGCGGCGCGCCACCTGCTGGAGTGCGAGAATTTCTTCCAGAGAATCTGGCGGAGGAAGGGAGTCTGGCCGCACCTGGACGCCGAGGCCGTCGGCTTCTTCTCGCGTGGCATACTTGCCTTAGCGCAGGCAGACTTCGAGCAGCAGGTCGACCGCATCCTGAGTATCTCCTCCGGTGCTGAGGCCAAGCATGAGAAGGCCGTGATGCAGAGCTGGAGGCAGTGGGCGCAGGCAGCTTTTGTGGCTGGAGCCAAGGGAGCTCACCGTTTCATGAAGCCCAAGGCTCTCCAGGAGATCGTGGACGGAGGCAATGGGCTACAACATGGGTACGTACTGGCTGATCGGAAGCTTGAATATTGGGAAAGCTTCTGGGTGCGGCATGGCGGTGAGCTGGCTCGCCGACCTGTTGATGCTGACACTTGGGAGCAGCTGCCAAGGCTTGAGGCGGCCGACGTACTCAAGGCAATCCGTTGTTTCTCTTGGCAGACAGGCGTCGGGCAGATCAACATCGCGCCCAGGGCCATGGAGCACCTCTCCCACGGGGCGCTGACGGCCATGGCGCGCCTCTTCGAGCGGTGCGAGCACCTCCTGCTGTGGCCAGACGGCAGATTCCTCTCGAAGCTTGTGAGACTCCCCAAGCCAGGGGGTGGGGAGCGCCTGATTGTGCTGATGAACACGCTGGTCAGAATCTGGGGACGGGCGAGGCGGCCTGTCTCGGCAGCGTGGGAGAAGGCCCACGCGCTCCCAGAGGTCTGGGGCCACACTGGAGGCAAGTCGTCGAGTGATGCGGCCTTTGATTTGGCTCTCACCAAGGAGATGGCGACCCTGTGCGATGACGACGCCATCATTGTGCTGCTGGACATGCTCAAATGCTACGAGCTGGTCAGGCATGATGCCATTTTGTTGGAGTGCAGGGCCAATGGATATCCTATGCGAATGGCGTTCATGCTTGTGCAGATGTACCAGCAGCTGCGTTCGGTGTACTCGTATTCTTCGTATTCAGTGGCGCGCAGGGCGTATCAGGGCATCCTGGCAGGCTGCACCCACGCCACTACGCTTCTCATGGTGTTGTTGACTCGCAGCATTCGCCAGACGATGTCGGTCGCTCCTCAGGTTCAGCCCAAGGACTTGGTGGACGACGTCGCGCTGTGCTGGGTCGGCAACGACCCGAGCGGGGTGCGAGAAATGGCCATTGCCACTCGTGCGTTCTGCAGGGCTGTCCGGCCCCTCGGGCTGGTGCTGCAGATGGATAAGTCTGGGCACCTAACGACGTCCAGGCGCACCAGCTACCACTTTCAGAAGTACGCTAGGCTGCTGAAGATCGCTGGCAAGAGGCACATGCGGTATCTTGGCCACGACCTAGCTGGGTCGTCGGCCACAAGGGCCGTGCAGAAGGGACGCCTGAAGGCCATGCACGGCAAGAAGGCCAGCGTTCGAGCATGCAGAAGGGAGCAGGACGACAGCGGGCGGCTCGGCTCTGGGCCACGGGTGTGCTGCCATCCGTGGGGCACGGAGCCACGGTCAGCGGCATCAGCGACACGGAGCTGCAGCAGATGAGGACCATGGCTGGCGTCTTCTGTGGCTACAAAGGGTCGGGCTCCCTGACGCTGTACCTGGCCGTGCAGCAGTGGAACTTCGACCCCATATTCCACGCTACCTTCAGCATCGTGGGGCAGTACGCGGCGTGGGTGTGGGATGGGCGTGTGACGCTCTCCCGACTGCAGCGGGCCTGGATGGGCTTGCGTGACTCCTGGGAAGCCCGCCACACTCACGTCACGTGGGCCAGTGCGCAGGGCCCGCTGTCGGCCTTGTGGTTGTCCCTCAGGAGAGTCAACTGGAACATGGCAAGTTCTACTATCTTGGTTGACGATGAGGGCCTGCATATCAGTTTGCTGCAGTATTGTCCCAGTGAGGTGCTGTTTTTCCTGCGTCGCAGCCTCGACCGTTGGCAGAGCCATCGTATCCTCGACCAGCTGCCTGAGGCGCCCCCAGCCGATGGTGACGGCAGGCGGCAGCAGCATGTGTGGCTTCGTGCGCTTCGACTGGGACACGCTTCCTTGGCGCCTGGCCACAGAGGGGCTCTGGCCAAGCTGCAGTCCAACGGTTTCTGGTCGCCGCAGCGCCGCATGCAGGCTGGCTAC